TGCATACAAGTCAGGCACGAGAGTCAAATTTGCCTCGCCCTTCGGCTCTTGAGCAAAGCGTGTCCACCCATTCTGCTCTATTGCTCGCGAAATATCCGGGTAACTTAACTTGGTAGCCCCAAAATTCAATGATCTTTCAAACATTATTGGATTGATCTGTTAGTCTTTATAAGCTTCCATTTGTTCCACGCACTTTCACTCACAAAGTTCTTATCCCACACGGCCGTAGCAACCGGAGCACTCGGCTCCCCTTCACTTTCGGGCAACGGAATCAATGTCTCCTCATCATCAGATGAGTCAGGTTCAGATTCAGACTCGACAACCTTTTTTTGCCTTGCCCTTTCCCTTCACCTCAGCTACTTTCCGCTTCTTAGCCGGTGGTGGCTTTGAAGCTCCCTCTCTAATTTGGACCAGAACCTCTCTTGGCCTAGACAGCTGTCATTAACGTGCCCTTTGCTTTGTTTGTGCAGGCTGCTCAGTGATTGGTGGTCTCAGTGTCCACCTCAGAAGTTCCAGTCTTTTCCTTATCATGCCTATCCTTTGTTCGTGCCTCTGTAGCACCCTTATCCGCTATATTCTTGTCAGTTGGTGATTTGTTTGGGGTGGCTTACCACTACCACCGGCTCCATGGCTTCGATTTGGTGTTTTAGAGACAGTCATATCACATGCAAAAGATACAAAACACATATTAGTATAATGTGTAATATTGAGATATAGCGGTACACATCGCACCCCACACATAGCCCAAAAGCGTAAGTGTGCAACCATGGTAAAATTGTCTACTAACACTTAATTACATTGATATAAGGTTACCTAGCATCATTGAAAATCAAGTGGGTAGGACGACACGCCGTGCACGAGTCGTGCCTAAGTTGGCCGCAAGTTGACCTTCGTTCTAAAACGAATGCAATTTAAGTGCAAGACCCCCAAACGGCTGCCCCACACTCAAGAGATGTTCATATTACCAAAACAATTAGTCTTGCTACCTAGATTTCACAAAACCTATCAAAATTCTTATTCGAGCAATTTTTCGAACACCTTATATGCATAATTTTTACCATCATGTTTCAATGCAAGTGGTATGTATTTTGCCCTCCCAATTTGAATGAGGTGGTGGGAATTGTAGTTTCCCACCTCACTATGCACAAAAACCAACAAAATCTAGAGTGAACTATGCTCCAAAATTCAAAATTCAATTACTCTACCAAAATAAACCATAACAAGAAAGAAAGAGAAAAACAAAACTAACCTAAGGGAGGATGGAAGGGGGGTTGTTACGTGGGGTGGGGCGAAACATAAAACAAAAGAAAAGGGTTTGGAAATTCTTACTAGTGGGGGAAAAGTGAGGAAACGGGAGAGAGGGCTAGGCATATGGTCGAAGACAGAAGACGAAGACCTCCTGGGCTGGGAATAGAGAGGGGGAACAAAGAAAGAAATAAAGAAAAAGGGACAAACCTGGGCGGCTAAAAAGAAAGAAAAAACAAACGAAAGAAAAAAAATCGCGCGGGAGCCGCACGATAGGATCAGTTTGCTATCCCTGAAAGCTGGTTACAAGGCTAGCTCGTCCACAAGCGTGCAGCGTGCGGGCGCAGACGCGGCCTAACTGGCATTATTTTTTCAGCTTTGCACTTTTTGTGAAGTTAGTCGCGCCATGGGCGAACTTTACTATTTTTTTTCCAGTTAGCTGGCCTGGGACCGCGTCTGCCTTCGCGCGAGGCACGAATTTAGACAAGCCCAGTGCTGGCCATTTTTCAGCTTTTCGATTTAGCCACTTTCGGCCTTTTCTCATGATTTCTTCACCCCGAGTCATTCCAATTTGCACAATCGCATTTCTACAACATTCATAAACATGTCAATACTTCCACAATTCCAAATCAAACAAGGAAAATAAAGAAAAAGACGAAAATTGGGTTGCCTCCCAACAAGTGCTTGATTTAACGTCGCAGCACGACGAGTTACAACAAAATCATGGTTTGCCTCCCAATAAGCGCCTCTTTTAACGTTGCGGCACGATTCGGGCTATCCCTTATCAAGGATCTTTCAAGTACAAGGTCGAGATCATTTTATCTTCCTCAACCATGCCTTGATAATGTTTTAGTCTTTGCCCATTAACTTTGAACTTGTGGGAGCCATCTTCCGATGCAATCTCGATGGCTCCAGTTGAATGCATCTCTACCACACGAAATGGTCCTAACTATCTTGACTTCAACTTTCTCGGAAACAACTTCAATCTCGAATTGTATAGCAATACCACATCTCCAGGTTTAAAACTCCGCTCAAGAATATTTTTGTAATGCATCATCTTCATTCTCTCCTTGTATAGTCTTGTGCTCTCAAAAGTATAGTAATAGAACTCATCAAGCTCATGCAACTCTGTGACTCTACTTGTACCCGCAGCTTCCATATCGAGATTCGGCTGCCTCAATGCCCACAAAGCTCTATACTCCAACTCCACGGGTAAGTGACACGCCTTCCCAAACACCAATTATACGGCTACATGCCAATTGGAGTTTTGAAAGCGGTACGATAGGCCCAAAGTGCATCATATAACTTTCTCGCCCAATCCGTTCTTGTAGCATTCACGTTCTTTGTCAAAACATTCTTTATCTCTCTGTTCGAAACCTCCACTTGCCCACTCGTTTGTGGGTGATATGGGGTGGCAACCTTGTGGCGCACACCATATTTTTCTAACAACTTTGTGAAGGGCAAAAGTTAGTGTCTCCATCACTGATTATTGCCCTTGGAGTGCCAAACCGGGTGAGTATATTCTTTCTCAAAAAACAAATGACCCCCTTTGCATCATTTGTAAGGAGTGCCACAGCTTCCACCCATTTTGACACATAGTCCACACGTACGAGTATGTACTTGTTGCCATATGAGCTGACAAAAGGCCCCATGAAATCGATTCCCCATATATCAAACACTTCCACCTCCTGAATTGGGTTCATGAACATCTCATGTCGGCGAAAAATATTCCCGGTCCGTTGGCATTCATCACAACCCTTCACCCAGAAGTGTGCATCTTTGAACAATATCGGCTAGTAGAAGCCCGGCTCCAACACTTTTGCAGCTGTCCTTACTCCCCCGAAATGGCCACCATATAGGGATGCATGACAAGGATGCAAAATAGAAGATTGGTCTATCTCGGTAATACATCTTCAGATCATTTTATCAATACAAATCCTGAACAGATAAGGCACATCCCAAAAGTACATGCAACAATCACGGAAGAAATTTTTCTTTTGTACACAAGAAATGTCATAGGGGATAATACCGCTTGCCAGGTAGTTTGCAATATCTGCATACCATGGCGCTATCTTAACGTTTGTGGCCAACAGTTGTTCACCCAGGAAAGTTCCCACGATCTCTTCTACCTCAACCTTCTTCTCTGCTCCTTCCAACCTGGACAAGTGATTAGCCACTTGGTTCTCCGTTCCCTTTCGGTCACAGATTTCCAGGTTAAATTCTTGTAGTAGAAGCACCCATCGAATCATGCGCAGCTTTGAATCCTTCTTCTAAGTTAGGTACATGAGAGCAACATGGTCAGTATAAACAATTACCTTCGAGCCTATCAGGTATGGCCTGAATTTGTCAAATGCGAACACTACTGCTAGCATCTCCGTCTCGATCACCGTGTAATTTAGTTGGGCACCACTCAGGTTTCTACTTGCATAATAGATTGGGTGCATGATCTTCTCCTTCCGATGCCCCATGCACTGCTCCCACAGCATAATCGCTTGCATCGCACATCAGCTCAAATGGTTGCTCCCAGTCGGGTGCAACTATGATAGGTGCAGATACCAGCCTCTTCTTCAATTCCTCAAAATCTACCCTCCAGTCATTAGAAAACACAAAAGGGTGATCTTTTTCAAGCAGTTTACACAAAGGGTTAGCAATCTTGAAAAAATCTTTTATAAATCTCCTGTAGAAATCGGCGTGACCAAGGAAACTTCTTATTGACGGAAGTGGGTGGCGAAAACGTCTCTATAACATCAACCTTATCACGGTCCACCTCAATGCCCTTACTTGACACTAGGTGTCCCAAGACTATACCTTCTTGTACCATGAAATGACACTTTTCTCAGTTTAGCACCAGATTAGTCTCCATAAATCTCTGCAGCACTCTTTTCAGATTTCTAAGGCAGTCATCGAACTCCCACCACTGATAAATCATCCATGAAAACCTCCATTATTTCCTCTATCATACTATGAAGATAGCCATCATGTACCTTTGGAATGTGGCGGGTGCATTGAATAGGCCAAACGTCATTCTCCGAAAAGCGTAAATGCCATATGTACATATGAATGATGTTTTCTCTCTATCCTCCAGGGCAATAGAGATTTGATTATACCCCAAGTATCTATCCAAGAAGTAAAAGTGGGACCTCCCTACCAATCTATCTAGCATATGATCAATGAACGGCAAGGGAAAATGGTCTTTTCGGGTGGTCTTGTTCAATCTTCTGTAGCCCATGCTAATTCGCCATCCCGTGATTGTTCTTGTTGAGATCAACTCGTTGTTCTCATTTTGCACCACAAGCATTCCACCTTTCTTTGGCACACACTGAACTGGGCTAACCCAGTTGCTTTTTGAGATGGGAAAAATAATTCCCGCATCTAACCACTTGATCACTTCCTTCTACACGACTTCTTTCATGTTGGGTTTCAGCCTTCTTTGATGTTCTCTGAAAGGTCTGTGCCCATCTTCCAATGGAATCTTATGCACACAGAAGGCGGGACTGATACCCTTAATATCTGCGATGGTCTAACCAATTGCAATATTGCACTCTATTTACACCTGCAAAAGCTTTTCTACCTGCTCATCTAACAAACCCAAAGAGATAATAACAGGTAAAAGTCGAGCTAGGTCCCAAGAAAGCCTACCTGAGGTGAGATGGTAGCGGTTTCAGTTCCAACTGTGGTGGCTCTTCGATCGATGGCTTAGATGGAGGGATCTTTCTTTCTTCTAAGTGTAAAGTCTCAAATTCGAGCTCTCTTTTTCAGTACCCTTGGCCTTCAAGAGCCAACACCCACTCCGCCAAGTCCTCACCATTTACCTTTTCTAAGTTCATGAGGTAGGCTGATAGAGGGTCTTTTGCATTAAGTGCCTCATCATCTTCCTCCATGATCACATCCACAGCTTCTATTAAAGAGCAATTTGCAAACTCACAAGGGTCGCGCATAGACTTTTGCACATTAAATGTTATTTCTTCATTATTTAGCCTCATCTTCAGCTCTCCAATTTCACAATCAATCATAGCTTTTCCTATGGCCAGCAACGGCCTTCCCAAAATTATGGGAATCTCCCCATCAACCTGACAGTCTAGAATGACAAAATCTGCCAGAAACAGTAACTTTCCAACTTGCACAAGTACATCGTCAAGTATACCTGATGGTCTTTTCACTGTTCGGTCAGCTAGCTGTAGTAACATAGATGTGGGATTTTCGCTTCCAATGCCTAACTTTTTATAGATAGACAATGGCATCAGATTTATACTCGCCCCCAAATCACACAATGTTTTGGTGAATGCATAGCTACCTATGGTGCATGGAATTGTGAACCTTCCAAGGTTGGATAGTTTCTCAGCTATAGGTCTTGTCACAACAGCAATACAGGTCTGAGTCAATGTCACAGTTGCCAAGTCTTGAAAGTCGAACTTGTGAGACATCAAGTCCTTCATCATTTTTTTATAACCGGGCATCTCCCTGAAGGCATCAATTAGTGGAATGTTTACCTGAATCTGCTTCAACATTTCCATGAATTTTTTGTACTACTCATCCTTCTGATATTTAGCCAACCTCTGTGGGAAAGGTGCTGGAGGTCGCTTCCTTCTTATGACTTGAGTTAGATCCCGCTCCGGCACTTTTTCTGATGCCTTCTCTTGCACTTTCTCGGTATCCTTTGCAACCTCTTTTTCTTTGCTTCTTTCCTCTTGTGCATGTTGTACCGATACCTCTGTTAACTCTGTTGAATCGCATACCTCAATTGGTACTGGCACAAATATCTTAGTTGGTCGGCTTTCGCGAGCAATTTCTTGCTCTAGATCAAGATCTCTACCATTTCTTAGATTCACCGCCATAAGCTGCTTCGGGCCCTGCTGTCACATCCCTTTTTTCACCTTAACCCTCTAAAATATATAAAAGATATTTAAAGCTCAAAAGAGTTTTCAATTAGAAATTGACAAAATGTTGTATTTCAAAAGATTTTTCTAGCGTCGCCACTTAACATTTGGTTTCGGTGTGCCAAATCACCATTTAAAAATGATTTTTCTTTTAAATCACATTTAGACTCTAAAACATAGTCTGCACCAAAAATTCTGAGTAAGGGGGTTCGTTTGACTCGGGGAGAAGGTGTTAGGCATTTCCGAGCCCCGTAACTAATATGGTTGCATACTTGATTAAGTTGGATTTTAAGAAACTCGAATTGAGGCAAAACACAAAAAAAGGAGAATAAGCACAAAAAGAGGTTCGATATCGTCCCCACCTAATAAGTAAAAGAGAAAGAAAATAACAAAATAAATCCAATTGTCCTAAACTATGCCTTCATGATGTGTTGGCCTCCTTTTATATTTACTTTGGGACATTCCCTGACAAAATATTTACAAACTCCTCAGGAAATTCCCCAGATAAAATAATAAACTAAAGGGACGACCTTTCGCATCTAGTGAAACAAAAGTCAAGACCTAATATTTGCCTACCGGAGTGTGGCCGGCCTAAACATGCTACAAGCGGCCCAATGATAAAATCAACATTAAAATAACATAGTTCTGTTTACACCCAATTCCCATTTCATTCTTACGTCAAGTTCAACCTATTCTCCTTCCTTAAGTTTGGTCGACACCACCCCTGTCCAATTATCTTATTGGCCCATTTGCTCTTTAGTTTGATTTCTTATTGTTTGTAAATTTCTTTCCAACAGTAATGGGTAACTAAAACTAATTTAGTCAAATTCAAAGCATGAAAATATTCAAGAAATCAACAATAGATAATGCAAACTCCAAACTCATGTCATTAAAACCATGTATATGAAATTAAAAGGAGATAGGAAAAAATTAGACCTCAATCGATACTGTTAACCACAAAATTCACTCAGATGGACGAGCTTGGACCGGATCCTCGTACGACGCCTAGGACAGACCTCAACTCTTTACCGATGACTGAATCACACGATTGCTACCACCGGAAATTTCGCCGGGAAAACTCGAAACTTACGGCATGAGAACCTTGACAACAAGCTATTGGTAGCTGGGTTTTACTGGTTTTGGTGACTCATTTTTTATGTGAAAAGACGATGATGAAGCTATAACTGTGAACTGATTTTAATGGAATTTTACATGGCTGGTTGCAGAGACTCAGTAAAATGATGATGAAATTGTGCTATTTCACTGTGTTCTCTTTGTTCCCCTCTATCCTCTCTGTTGCTATCCGTTTTTTCTTTTGGAATCTATGTCCGTTTCGTGCCCTCTCTGTTCTCTCCTTTGTTCTTCTCTCTATGTGCATGTCCCTAATTTCTAGCCCCTGTATTGTTCTGCTCTCCGTCCAGTGACTCTATCCCCTCTGCATTGTGCTTGGACATGAAGAAACACTCCCCTAACAAACTGTGGACCCCACAATTTTTGTGAGAATATTCTCACCAATGCATATGTGCTCACCGGGAACAAACAAATAAGGGACCCGGCAACAAAATGGAAAATTACGTTAAAATCACTTTCCTTGCATTTTGCTTTTGCACTTTTCGTTCTTTTCCTTCTTTCTTCGTTTTCCTTTTTTTCTTCTTTTTCTTTTAAGTATTAACTTAAAACATAGTTACACAAATTACTAATTATCTAGGAAAATAGGTAATATTAAAAGAGAAAGAAAGTAATCATATTAGAAAAATCTAAATTCTACTTAGTTTTCGCTAAAGACCTACAACTTAAAAATCACACTAAACTAAGTAAAACTATTTTTGTCAAAAATTACATGTCTACACCTGCTCTTTCGGATTGACATGTGTGTCTACAGGTAACGTCCCTTGGGGACGATTATTAAGAGCCATAAATATCTGCCCTAATTGAATCTCAATGCCTTCTATCGCTGAGTCATGTGCTTCAACCTTCTCTTGCATTTTTCCATTGGACCCGATCAGTTGTTGCAGTATTCCTCTAATTTCAGACAACCCAGCATCTTGTCTCACTATCTGTTGTTGTTGAGGTTGTTGATAAGCTAGCTGCTAATTTTGCTGATTGTATCCTTGTTGCCTTTGGTAAGGCACGACTTGACTTTGTGATTGCATAGCTCCAGGATTGTTGTTATTATTGTACTGTTGTTGTGCTGATCTATACTGATGATTCTGTTGCCCCAATTCAGGCCACCTTGCCTCTGGCCTCCATAGTTGCCCACATAGTTCATATTCTCCTTATAGTTCTGGTTGTCATTTCAACCACTCCACGAGCACACATATGGTTGGTTAATGCATGGTGTGCATAAGCCTCAATTAGTCGTGTCAACTATGTGTACCTGCTTCTAGCCTGATTCATCAATCTTCTTGGTGATGATACTCATTTGCATCATCAGAGTGGCCATATTCTCGGCTATGGAATTGTTTGGGTCCAAAGCTACTAAGTGAACTACATGGGTGATTGTAGTGTCTCTCGTCATCCATCCGTAGTTTTGAGCTATTTTATCTAGAAGGAACTTGCACTCTCTAAATGATTTGCTAAAAAATGCTCCACCTGCTGAGGCATCAACCTTGGCTTTCAAGCTATCTGCCAATCCCATGTAAAACCTTTGTCCCAACATCTTATCTGCAATGCCATGATTTGGCCACTTAACTAGCATCCCTTTGAACCTCTCCCACGTTTCTTGTAGTGTTTCAACTGGTTTCTACCTGAAGCTCAATATCTCATCAACTTGCTTGGCAGTCTTATTGGGTGGGTAGAACTTGTTCAAAAACTACTTGACTAATTCCTCCCAAGTGGTGATGGAGTTTATCGGGAACGAATTAAGCCAAGTCTGAGCTTCTCCAGTCACTGAGAATGAAAATATAAACAATCTGATTGCTTCCGGTGTCACATTTGGTTGCCTTTGAGTGACACAAATTAACAAAAAGTTTTTCAGATGCTGTTGTGGATCTTCAATGTACGATTCGGAGAACATTCCCATGTTCTGCATCAAATGTAGTATGTTGTTTCTAATTTGAAATGACTCCGCTTGCATCTGAGGGACTGCAGTTCCGGTTGCTAGATTTTCAGTGGTGAGTTGTGCCCAATCATACAAGGCTGCTTCTGGAACAAGAGGTGCCACACCCTGATTGTTCGGGTAATTCTCATTGTTTCGGTTGTTTTGGTTGTCTATGACGTCCCCCATGTCTAGTTCGATCTGTTCTATTAGGTTTTATTCGTTTGTCCTTCTTGTTTGCACGATTTAATGCCTTGAAAGCTTTTTTAGGATCCGGTAATTCTTCAAACAATTCACCAGTTCTTGAGGAGTTTCTACAAGACTACAAACGTTAGGCTTCCAATATAATAAATTTAAAATGAAGAAAACTGACTAAACTAAGAATCCTAGCAATTCTTCTAGTTGTAACTAATAACACCATTAATTCTCCGACAACGGTGTCAAAAATTGATCACGCCCAACTATGCCTTATAAAAAGGACTAAGCAATAGTTGCAAATATAATCCGGTTTACAAGTCCGGAATCGAATCTTACAGGGAATTAACCTACTAATCACAACTGCTAGTTTCATAAGAATTCAAGTAATCAACTTCCAGAAATATTGAATAATGAGTTGAGTGTTTACTAACTAAACGCAAGGTAATTAAAAAGTTATAATTTTATTACTAACAAAGCAAATGTTGTAGACAAGATTGGAAAGGTTTAGGGTTACGATTTTGTCTCTTATCGGAATCCTCCCTGCTACGTCTCCTATAAATTCGCCTAGATATTCTCTACCGATTGTGAGCACTTTAGGTGATAATTGTCTTCCGAGCAACTACAACAATTTACTAGACGTCTTCTTTCGAACTACGCTAGCTGGCATTAGTTCACCGCTCACTAAGTTCACACCAAGGTTTCGTTATTCCTAATCCCACCTTTAAACCCTCTGTATTGATTCCTCATATACGTTAGGAGTGATGTTGTTCAAAAACTACCTAAATATGTATCATTTTCCAAGTAGTACACACTAAATAAGCATAGTCAATTGAGGGTCCTTCAATCAACCACAATAATTACGTAGTTGAACAAGTAGAGAAAATTCAATGGCAAACCTATATTAAACACAATAAAAATTCATCCTCCAAGAGGTTCCATCAAACCCTAGAATAAAGAGATTAGCTACTCATAATTATGTGCACAACTACAATATAAGAATTCATCACAATAATAGAAAAAGGAAGACAAAAATACAAACTCGTTTCCGAATCTTCCACCTTGCTCCTTGCTTGTACTTGCCTTCAAAGATATTGTGTAACCCTTAAAAAGTCATTCTTTGATGTATTTATATCACTTAAGCTTGATAAGGGGCGGAACTTTTCAATCCAACTTCGGATGGGAAAAGCTGAAATCCGCGTCTGCCTTCGCACGTCGCGCGCCCATGGACGCGGATTCAGCTTTTGAAATTCTTCCATTTCGCGAAGCGATCCGTGCATTTGCTTCACTTTGTTGTTTTGTGCCTTCGCTTTTCTCCTTTTTTGCGTCCGTTTTCGTGTCATACACAAGAATAGACGAGCTCCTAATCCTTTCATTTTCTCCTTTTTGCAATAATTTG